TTCACCAGGGCCCCTGATGGTGGGGATGGACTTGTAGTACCCCGGGACCAGGTCGCCACTACTGAGCACACCTGTCAGTGGTAGGGGTGTTCTCCAGGGCCTCCAACCAGGGAGAGCCAAATGTAAGGAGGTTGGGTGACCCCGATGGGATGGATGGATGGCTGAGCAAGTGCGAAGTCAGACAAGCCGAGTTGGTAACGTAGAGGGCGGTAAGGTATAAGGGAGCAGGCAGAGAATTGTCGGGTCACACGCCAGGTCAGCAACAGTAGGTCAAATCTAATGAGGGGCATTCAGGAAGAGAGGTCAGGCAAAGCAAGGGTCTGGGCAGGAGAAATCAGCAGGTCAAGAGCAATCCGGGTCAAATAACTTACAAGGCACAGGTTCAGATTCGCAGGATACAGGTAGGACCAGAAGGCACTGAAATGACAGCACAGGGACATTTAAATATCCCGCCCTGCACTGCCATTGGTGCCCAGCGGGCGGCTGCGGCTTCTACTGCGCATGCGCGAACTCGAACGCCGCGGCCGGCCCGGAACTAGTGCCCGTGTCCCCGCACAGGGCGGTGCAGTGCGCCTGCGCCGGGACCATCGCGGCGGGGATCGAGGGGATCCCTGACATTGCCCCCCCCCCCCCTACGGGCAACCTCCGGATGCCCACTCGATCTCTCCACCACGGGTGATCACAAAGAAACCTCCGGACAAGTCTGGGTGCATGGACATTATGGGCTGGTTCCCATGAATTGTCCTCAGGGCCGTAGCCCTTCCACTTGATGAGAAATTGGGTCTGGCCCCCCCTTCGTCGGCACTTTAGGATTGTCTCCACCTCGAATTCTTCTTCCTCTTCGACTGTTATGGCCTCCGGGGCCTGGATTCCCGTTTCGGGAAGGCATCAGGGACTACCGGTTTCAGCAGGGACACGTGGAAGACAGGGTGAATCTTGAGTGTCTCAGGGGAGAACAAGTTCATAGGCCACTTCATTGACCATCCGCTTAATGCAAAAAGGGCCTATAAATTTAGGTCCCAACTTCTTTGACGGGCAGAGCATCTTCAAGTTAGCTGTAGCCAGCCAAACCTTCTCTCTGGGCCGCAACACCAGATCCCCTCTTCGCTTCCTATTAAAAGCCCTCTTGTAATCTTCTTCGGCCCGACTGATGGCTTCTTGTAGTTTTTTATTGTTTGACGCGAAAAAGGTTAGTGTATCCTGTGTTGCTGGAATTGGGCATTCCGGGACTAAATCCGGGAGGAAGACAGGGTGAAACCCATAGTTGGAGAAGAACAGGGGACTGCCCTGTTGCTGAATGGCAAGCGTTGTTATACGCAATTCCGCCAAAGGAAGAAGTGGCACCCAGTCGTTATGAGAGAATGATGCGTAGCATCGCAAGTATTGCTCCAGGGTCTGATTGGTCCTTTTGGTCTGACCATTGGTCTGAGGGTGAAATGCCGAGGAAAGGGATAGCTTGATATCCAGGGCTTTGCACAATGCCCTCCAAAATCTCGAGGTAAACTGCACCCCTCGGTCCGAGACGATGTCTTCGGGGACCCCATGCAGTCTAACAACCTCTCGAATAAAGACTTGCGCCGTCTCGGCCGCCGATGGAGTCTTCCGTAACGGAACGAAATGGGCCATCTTGGATAAACGGTCCACGACCACGAGAATTGCTGTGTGGTCCAGTGAAGGTGGAAGCTCGACTATGAAGTCCATAGAGATCTTCTGCCAGGGCCGTTCAGGGATTGGTAATGGACGTAGCAGGCCCCACGCCTTATTTCTTGAAGGCTTGTTCCGCTGGCAGATGACACAGGAGCCCACGTAACTCTTACAATCCTTGGCCATGTCTGGCCACCAGAAGGAACGTCGGAGAAGTTCCAGGGTCTTGACCGGGCCAAAATATCCTGCCATCGGGTGGTCATGGCAATGTCCCAAGACTAGGGCTCGGGCTTCCTCCGGCACCACGATCCGGTCCTCCCTCCATAGGAGTCCCCCCTTGTTCTGGAGGGGCGCCCCATCGGAGGTAGACATGGCTGTGGACGCTTTCATTATCTCGGAGCGAAGGTTCGTCTGGAGGGCCAAGAAGTTTCCTGCAGGCAGAATAGTGTCAGGTACTGGTATCTCCTTGGTGTCCTCGTACATGCGTGACAACGCGTCTGGCTTCGTGTTTTTTGATCCCGGCCTGTATTTGATGTGGAACTGGAACCTCCAGAAAAACAATGCCCATCTTGCCTGTCGTGGGCGCAAACGTTTGGCAGTCCTCAGATATTCCAGGTTCTTGTGGTCCGTGAATATCAGAATGGGGTGTGAGGCACCTTCCAGCAGGTACCTCCATTCTTCTAATGCGGTCTTGATAGCCAGTAATTCTCGATCCCCAATGTCGTAGTTCTTTTCCGCAGGGGTAAGTTTCCGTGAGAAGAATGCTACTGGGTGAAGTAATTCCTTGGCGCCCTTTCGCTGGGAAAGAATGGAGCCAACCGCGTTCTCCGACGCATCTACTTCTAAGATGTAGGGCAGGGAGGCGTCAGGATGACCCAGAATGGGTGCCGAGGTAAATAACTTCTTTAACGCTTCAAAAGCTTCCTGTGCCTCTGGCGTCCATCTGAATCGCGTCCCAAGCTCGGTTAGTTGAGTGATGGGGGAAAGCAGACCCGAGAAGTTCTTGATGAACTTCCGGTAGAAGTTTGCGAACCCGATAAAAACGTTGGACGCTTTTCCTGTCCGTGGGTTCAGGCCAATCTAGGATCGCAGAGACCTTCTGAGGGTCCATTGCGACCCCCGTGGTGGAGATGATCAGGCCCAGAAATGTAACGCTAGCCTGTTCAAAGCAACATTTCTCTGCTTTAGCGTACAACCCATGCTGCCGCAACCGCCCCAAAACCTTTGTTACATGTACCCTGTGCTCCCCCAGGGAGGATGAGAAAATCAAAATGTCGTCTAAGTAGACGATGACAAAGATGTCCAGGAAGTCCCTAAAGATGTCGTTTACAAAGTGCTGGAAGGTGGCCGGCGCATTGCACAACCCGAAAGGCATGACCAGGTATTCGAAATGGCCGAAACGGGTGCGGAAGGCCGTTTTCCACTCATCCCCCTCCCTTATGCGAACCAAGTTGTAGGCTCCCCTTAAGTCCAGCTTGGTAAATACTACTGCAGCCTTTAAGCTCTGGAATAATTCTGGTACCAGTGGTAATGGGTAACGATTCTTGATTGTGACCCTATTCAGTTCCCGATAGTCGATACATGGCCTCAAGGTCTTGTCCTTCTTTTCTACAAAAAAGATCCCTGCACCTGCTGGGGAAGTGGAGGGATGGATGAATCCCTTCCGGAGATTGTCCTCAATATAATCCTTCAGGGCCCCTAATTCTAGTTCAGAAAGGGGAAAAATTCGCCCAAAGGGAATTTCAGAACCGGGTAACAGATCAATAGGACAGTCATATGGGCGGTGGGGGGGTAGAGTATCAGCTCCCCGTTCACTGAACACATCAAGAAACTTATGATAGGCTGCAGGAATCACTTGTTTCAGGCTGGCATCCCCTTCGGAGCACAGGAGGACCTGGGGGACCTCCGGGCCCGAAGTTCGGCACAGTTCCCGACAGTATGGGGAATGGAACGAGACAACCCCAGTCTCCCAGTCAATTTGGGGGTTATGGGCCCGCAACAATGGGAGCCCCAGAATGACTGGGAAAAGGGGTGATGCAATCGCATCTAGGCGGAGGAGCTCCCGGTGTTGACCAGCAATGGAAGTCACAATGGAAGGGGTCTCCTGGTTAACCACACCCACCCTGACTTTATCCGGGAACCATCAGCCAAAAAGATGTGAAACCCCTTCTCCTTTGGACGGAGGGGGATACCCTGCCGGTGGGCAAAATTTGATATCCACAAAACAGCTGCATGCCCCCGAATCAACTATGGCTGTCACTAGAGATGAGCGAAGTATTCAAAAATTCGATTCGGCTGATTCGGTGAATTCGAGAAATAAATTTGATTCGAGTTGAATATATTCGCTGCGAATTTAACTTATAAAAAGGGTGTTTCTAGGCTTCAGAGAGCCTTTATATTAGTGCAGAACACTGTACCTTTAATTTAAATGCCCTTGGAGTCTGCTGGGGAAGAGAAATAATACTGTCAGTCAGTATGACATGCAGATGAGTGCCGTCGATCTTAGAATCACCGCACACTTCACTCATTTGGGCAGTCACGGGGCCAAAACCAGAGTGTGGAGCCACAGTGTGGCGGTGGAGGCAGCAGCAATGGGAGGCCATACAGCACCCTATGACAAAATGGAACCCACTCTGGACCTGGGCAGCAGCATGAGGAGGCGGTACAGGGGCCCATGACAGATTACGGGCCTGGCAGCAGCATGAGGAGTCGGTACGGGGGCCCATGGCAGATTATGGGCCTGGCAGCAGCAATGGGAGGCCCGTAATCTGCCAGCACCCTATGACAAAATGGAACCCACCAGCAGTGTGAGGAGACCTGAAAGTGGCACATGGCAGAGTGTGGCGATGGAGACAGCAGCAATGGGAGGCCGTACAGGGACCCATGAGACACTCTGGACCTGGCAGCAGCATGAGGAAGAGGTACAGGGGCCCATGGCAGATTATGGGCCTGGCAGCAGCAATGGGAGGCCCGTAATCTGCCAGCACCCTATGACAAAATGGAACCCACCAGCAGTGTGAGGAGACCTGAAAGTGGCACATGGCAGAGTGTGGCGATGGAGACAGCAGCAATGGGAGGCCGTACAGGGACCCATGAGAGACTCTGGACCTGGCAGCAGCATAAGGAGGCGGTACACGGGCCCATGACAGATTACGGGCCTGGCAGCAGCATGAGGAGTCGGTACGGGGGCCCATGGCAATTACGGGCCTGGCAGCAGCAATGGGAGGCCCGTAATCTGCCAGCACCCTATGACAAAATGGAAACCCACCAGCAGTGTGAGGAGACCTGAAAGTGGCACATTGCAGAGTGTGGCGATGGAGACAGCAGCAATGGGAGGCCGTACAGGGACCCATGAGACACTCTGGACCTGGCAGCAGCATGAGGAGTCGGTACGGGGGCCCATGGCAGATTACGGGCCTGGCAGCAGCAATGGGAGGCCCGTAATCTGCCAGCACCCTATGACAAAATGGAACCCACCAGCAGTGTGAGGAGACCTGAAAGTGGCACATGGCAGAGTGTGGCGATGGAGACAGCAGCAATAAGAGGCCGTACAGGGACCCATGACACACTCTGGACCTGGCAGCAGCATGAGGAGGCGGTACAGGGGCCCATGACAGATTACGGGCCTGGCAGCAGCATGAGGAGTCGGTACGGGGGCCCATGGCAGATTACGGGCCTGGCAGCAGCAATGGGAGGCCATACAGCACCCTATGACAAAATGGAACCCACCAGCAGTGTGAGGAGACCTGAAAGTGGCACATGGCAGAGTGTGGCGATGGAGACAGCAGCAATGGGAGGCCGTACAGGGACCCATGACACACTCTGGACCTGGCAGCAGCAAGAGGAGGCGGTACAGGGGCCCATGGCAGAGTGGCGAAGCGTAAGCAGCTTAAATTGAAGGCCATACAGAGGCCTATGTTAAAAATAATAACATGTTTGGGGCATGATTCATGGCGGATTTAGTCAGTTGTGTCAGGAACTGGTGGTTTGAAATCCAGACTAATCCACGCCTGATTCATTTTCACAAACGTGAGTCTCTCCACACTTTGGGTGGACAGTCGTGTCCTCCGCGGAGTTACAATACCTCCTGCCGCACTAAACACGCGCTCCGATGCCACGCTACTGGCCGGGCATGACAGCCTTTCAAGGGCAAATTCAGCTAGTTGGGGCCAAAGGTCAAGTTTCGTTGCCCAGTAGTCAAGGGAATTGTCTACCTCGGTTGGCAGGGTGCTGTCCAAGTAGGCCCAAGCCTGTTGTTTGAGGTCCTGCTCCAGGTCCACCTGATGCTGCTGCTGCTGCGGCTGGTTAGTAGTTTCCTCACTGCGCTGGTGAAGAAAGCTACTCATCATCGACTGCAGACTGAGGCAGCCGCTGCTGGTGGAGCTGCCACTGCTCCTACCACCCCACCCCTCCCCTGCTGCCATGGCAGCGGAACGCGAGCGCACAGGGCCCACAGTGTCTGAAGATGGACGTTGGCGCAGAAAGGCAGAGACCAACTGACTACATAGGTGGTTTTTATAGTACGTTATTTTGGCCTCCCTCTCAGCAGGTGTGAAAAAGGCCACCATTTTTGAATGGTAGCGAGGGTCCAACAAGGTGGACAGCCAAAAGTCATCCCTCTGTCTGATGGTTATTATTCGGCTGTCGCTACGCAAGCAACCGAGCATGCTATGGGCCATTTGTGCCAAGGAATGCGAGGGACTCCCTGCCTCCATCTCCACAGCATACTGCCACGGTGCGTCTGGGTCCTCTGTCTCCTCCTCCTCCTCTACCAGATGCTCCTGCTCCTCCACTCCTGTCCGCTGAGTGGAAAAACCACCCATTTCACTCAATAATTCCTGAGCACCAATGTCCTCCTCTACCTCCTCCTCTTCTTCCTGTCCTGCCCCCACAGGGGTCATGTGGCGTTGAGATCTGTGCGCCACGTCTACCGCACCCTGACCAGCCATTGTTAACAGCATTTGTTCCAGGACGTGCAACAGAGGAATGACGTCGTTCATCCCATAGTCCTGCCGACTCACGAATAGCGTGGCCTCCTCAAAGGGCCTGAGCAAGCGGCAGGTGTCACGCATGAGCTGCCAATGGCTGACATCTAAGTTACACAGGGGAGTACCTTTATCCGCTTGTAACATCAGGAAATCGGTGATGGCCTTTCGCTGTTCGTAAAGGCGGTTAACATATGTAGGGTTGAATTCCACCTTGTTGCAACGTCACAGCATGAGGAGTTGGTACGGGGGCCCATTGCAGATTACGGGCCTGGCAGCAGCAATGGGAGGCCCGTAATCTGCCAGCACCCTATGACAAAATGGAACCCACCAGCAGTGTGAGGAGACCTGAATGTGGCACATGGCAGAGTGTGGCGATGGAGACAGCAGCAATGGGAGGCCGTACAGGGACCCATGACACACTCTGGACCTGGCAGCAGCATGAGGAGGCGGTACAGGGGCCCATGGCAGATTACGGGCCTGGCAGCAGCAATGGGAGGCCCGTAATCTGCCAGCACCCTATGACAAAATGGAACCCACCAGCAGTGTGAGGAGACCTGAAAGTGGCACATGGCAGAGTGTGGCGATGGAGACAGCAGCAATGGGAGGCCGTACAGGGACCCATGAGACACTCTGGACCTGGCAGCAGCATGAGGAGGCGGTACAGGGGGCCCATGGCAGATTACGGGCCTGGCAGCAGCAATGGGAGGCCCGTAATCTGCCAGCACCCTATGACAAAATGGAACCCACCAGCAGTGTGAAGAGACCTGAAAGTGGCACATTGCAGAGTGTGGATGGAGACAGCAGCAATGGGAGGCCGTACAGGGACCCATGACAGATTACGGGCCTGGCAGCAGCATGAGGAGGCGGTACAGGGGCCCATGACAGATTACGGGCCTGGCAGCAGCAATGGGAGGCCCGTAATCTGCCAGCACCCTATGACAAAATGGAACCCACCAGCAGTGTGAGAGAGACCTGAAAGTGGCACATGGCAGAGTGTGGCGATGGAGACGGCAGCAATGGGAGGCCGTACAGGGACCCATGACACACTCTGGACCTGGCAGCAGCATGAGGAGGCGGTACAGGGGCCCATGACAGATTACGGGCCTGGCAGCAGCAATGGGAGGCCCGTAATCTGCCAGCACCCTATGACAAAATGGAACCCACCAGCAGTGTGAGGAGACCTGAAAGTGGCACATGGCACAGTGTGGCGATGGAGACAGCAGCAATGGGAGGCCGTACAGGGACCCATGACACACTCTGGACCTGGCAGCAGCATGAGGAGGCGGTACAGAGGGGCCCATGGCAGATTACGGGCCTGGCAGCAGCAATGGGAGGCCCCGTAATCTGCCAGCACCCTATGACAAAATGGAACCCACCAGCAGTGTGAGGAGACCTGAAAGTGGCACATGGGCAGAGTGTGGCGATGGAGACAGCAGCAATGGGAGGCCGTACAGGGACCCATGACAGATTACGGGCCTGACAGCAGCATGAGGAGGCGGTACAGGGGCCCATGACAGATTACGGGCCTGGCAGCAGCAATGGGAGCCCGTAATCTGCCAGCACCCTATGACAAAATGGAACCCACCAGCAGTGTGAAGAGACCTGAAAGCGGCACATTGCAGAGTGTGGCGATGGAGACAGCAGCAATGGGAGGCCGTACAGGGACCCATGACAGATTACGGGCCTGGCAGCAGCATGAGGAGGCGGTACAGGGGCCCATGACAGATTACGGGCCTGGCAGCAGCAATGGGGGGGCCCTTAATCTGCCAGCACCCTATGACAAAATGGAACCCACCAGCAGTGTGAGGAGACCTGAAAGTGGCACATGGCAGAGTGTGGCGATGGAGACAGCAGCAATGGGAGGCCGTACAGGGACCCATGACACACTCTGGACCTGGCAGCAGCATGAGGAGGCGGTACAGGGGCCCATGGCAGATTACGGGCCTGGCAGCAGCAATGGGAGGCCCGTAATCTGCCAGCACCCTATGACAAAATGGAACCCACCAGCAGTGTGAGGAGACCTGAAAGTGGCACATGGTAGAGTGTGGCGATGGAGACAGCAGCAATGGGAGGCCGTACAGGGACCCATGACAGATTACGGGCCTGGCAGCAGCATGAGGAGGCGGTACAGGGGCCCATGACAGATTACGGGCCTGGCAGCAGCAATGGGAGGCCCGTAATCTGCCTGCACCCTATGACAAAATGGAACCCACCAGCAGCGTGAGGAGACCTGAAAGTGGCACATGGCAGAGTGTGGCGATGGAGACATGGGCCCCCTGGCCACGCTTGACTTTCTGGCCACATAGTCGACATATGGCTACGTTTTCTTCCTCGGACGGCTTGACGAAAAATTGCCACACCGCCGAGTAGGAAACTTTGCCCCCGCTACTCCTCACTGGCTGACTGCTACTTCCTCCGTGCACACCGGCACCACTACTGGCCGTGGTGGTAGGCTGCAGTGGAGCTGGTGCTCTACTCCGTGGCCGTTTGCCTCCACTGACACTGCTGCGACCCTGCTGCCTCCTGGGCAACCCACCGACTGTTTTGCTCGCTGCCAAGCTGGCACCCTCTTCTCCTGATGATGCGGAAGCAATAGCCTGATGACGACGAGGCTGCCAAGTGCGATCAGCCTCATCATCATCAATTAGGGTTCCGCCTCACTACTAGCCCCCTCGGCTGCGTGTGGGTCAGGAGACAGACCTGTCTCTAGACCGGCTACCGACCCACTCTCCTTGCCAGTACTTCTTCGCCTGGCTGCTGAAGAGGCGGATGTCTCCCCCCGTTCCTGACCCGCCCTCTGTTAGCTCTTCCTCACTGTACAGTGGGGCTGAGCCCACAGCATGCGATACTTCGCTTGGTGAGGGAACACCAAAGGACAGGGGCAGGTAGAGGACATGTGATTTCAGTGGGCTTGCTCCCGGGCCATGCCAACTAACGGTTGTGTCTGACGTACCCACCCACCGACCGTTGGCTGTAGGTGTCAGAGGTGACCTGGGAAGAGGAAGACGACCGAGCCAACCAATCGATGACGGCAGGGTTGTCGGTGGAGACACGACCGCTGGATGACACCGGGAGCACTGGCCTCTGGCTGCGACTAGTGCTGCCTCGACCCCTTCCTCTGCTGCCACGTCTGCTCGCTCCCAAAACATTGCCTCCTCTGCCACTCCTCTGCGTGTTGTCTGACATACTCTTTAATTCAACGATTCTGTGTCCCTGAGTAACGATTCTGTGTCCCTGAGTAACAATTCTGTGTCTGTCCCTGAGTAACAATTCTGTGTCCCTCAGTAACAATTCTGTGTCCCTCAGTAACAATTCTGTGTCTGTCCCTGAGTAACAATTCTGTGTCCCTCAGTAACAATTCTGTGTCTGTCCCTGAGTAACAATTCTGTGTCCCTCAGTAACAATTCTGTGTCCCTCAGTAACAATTCTGTGTCCCTCAGTAACAATTCTGTGTCTGTCCCTGAGTAACAATTCTGTGTCCCTGAGTAACAGTTCTGTGTCCCTAAGTAACAATTCTGTGTCCCTGAGTAACAATTCTGTGTCCTTGAGTAAGAATTCTGTGTCCCTGAGTAACAATTCTGTGTCCCTAAGTAACAATTCTGTGGCCCTAAAGTCTCTTTGGCCCTAACTCTGTCCCTAATACAGAGAGGTCTGTCTCTCTCTTGAATGACCGGAGGCTAATGGAGAATTCTAAGATGGCCGCAATTTATAGCTCGACCATTACACAGTGCTGGCTGGCTGGCTGCTGATTGGCTAATGCGATCACATGTCATGAATGAATGCATTATGGGTCAGCGCGCCTTGTCTGCGCGCCTTCCCAGAGATCCCCGCTCCGTCGCCACACATGTCGCCGCCATTTTTGGAAAATTTCGATTCGCGCATCCGAAGTCTGCTAATTTTCGGATTCGGCGCGAATCAAATTTTTCCTAATCTTCGAAACGAATTCCACTTCGCCAAGTTCGATTCGCTCATCTCTAGCTGTCACCTCCACGGTCCTTTCTGAAAGCTGAAAGGAGAGGGGGACAACTAAGTATTGGGACGGATTCATATTGCCAATAGATAAAGAAGATGAGGTGAACTTACTAGAACGTACCATGTGACCAGCTTCACCGCAGTAGAGACACAGGTTCTGGGAGCGTCTGCGCTGGCGTTCCTCTGGCGGTAGTTTGGGCCGTGCCAGGCCTAGCTGCATGGGTTCGGGAGCATCTTCAGACGGCAGGTTCTGAATGTTTGGCCTAGTATGTTGACTGGATCCTTGGAATGACCCCCAGGTATTTCCGCGACCCTGACCAGACCTCTCCAATCTGCGCTCCCGTAGCCTACGGTCAATTTTAATGGTGAGTGCAATCAAGTCCTCTAATGTCTCGGCACCTCCACCCGGGCGAGCTCGTCTTTCAGAGCCTCAGATAGGCCCATACGGAACTGGTGCAAAAGTGCAAACTCATTCCAGCGAGTGTCTCCCATCCAACGCCTAAAGTCAGAGGCGTATTCCTCAGCCGCTCGCCGACCTTGTCGGAGTGCGTATAATGTGGCCTCGGCCGAGGCCGCCCGTTGTGGGTCATCATATAAGATGGCCATAGCATTAAAAAAGTTGTCAACCGTAACCAGATGGGGGTCATTATTTCCCCTTAGTCGGTGGGCCCAGTCTTGGGGTTCACCCTGCAACAGGGAGATAACAAACCCCACTTTCACCGATTCCGTCAAAAAAGTCCGTGGTTGTAGTTCAAAATAGAGCAGACAGGAGTCACGGAATGACCGAAAGCGTGTGCGATCCCCGTGGAAGCGCTCGGGTAAGGGTACTCGGGGTTCCGCCATAGGGAGTGATGCGAAAGGTCCAGAAGCCGGCTCGTGGGCTGCTGCGACCAGGGGTGCAGGAGCCGGGGCCTGTGAAACAGGAGCAGATATGGTGCAGGCCTGAAACCGATTCTCAATCTGCAAACATCTGTCCTGTAACATGTTTACTGCTTGTGTCAGGGTAGCCAGGTGCCTGCAAACCTCCTCCATCGGGGAGGGTCCTCCTTGAGGCTCAGTCATGGCCTTCTGGTACTGTGAGGGACCGCCGGACGGCACCACTAGCACTCCACTGGTCAGGCGCGCCCAGAGCACGGAGTCTAAGCCCCAGGGTACTTGTTCACCAGGGCCCCTGATGGTGGGGATGGACTTGTAGTACCCCGGGACCAGGTCGCCACTACTGAGCACACCTGTCAGTGGTAGGGGTGTTCGCCTCCAACCAGGGAGAGCCAAATGTAAGGAGGTCGGGTGACCCCGATGGAATGGATGGATGGATGGCTGAGCAAGTGCGAAGTCAGACAGGCCGAGTTGGTAACGTAGAGGGCGGTAAGGTACAAGGGAGCAGGCAGAGAATCGTCGGGTCACACGCCAGGTCAGCAACAGTAGGTCAAATCTAATGAGGGCAAAGCAAGGGTCTGGGCAGGAGAAATCAGCAGGTCAAGAGCAATCCGTGTCAAATAACTTACAAGGCACAGGTTCAGATTCGCAGGATACAGGTAGGACCAGAAGGCACTGAAATGACAGCACAGGGACATTTAAATATCCCGCCCTGCGCTGCCATTGGTGCCCAGCGGGCGGCCGTGGCTTCTACTGCGCATGCGCGAACTCGAACGCCGCGGCCGGCCCGGAACTAGTGCCCATGTCCCCGCACAGGGCGGTGCAGTGCGCCTGCGCCGGGACCATCGCGGCGGGGATCGAGGGGATCCCTGACACTATCATTGGGGCTTTCCATTCCAGCTTACAGCTACTAAAGATGGGATCTCGGCCATTCTTCCTGACAAGGATGACCATTTTTTTCAAACTCTCTACCTGTCTGAAGTGGACTTTCCTGATTGGAGGGGTGGCAGTGCATCTTCTGCTACTCAGACACAACAGGACTGGCAGGAGCCATGATGGAAGCGTAAACGGATCTGAAATCCCCTGGGCTCACTTAACGCCAAAGGGAACACTTGAACATTAGTTCTTGATGATTGTCCATCTGGTTCTTTCTGGGTTGGTTCCTGTGGCTTCACCTGATGCCGATATCCTTTGACCCATTCTTCTGAGACTTCTGTTTAGGTTTCTCCATCCTTCGCTAAC